AGGTTTTTTTTTTCTTTTTTTTTTTTTTGTGATGTCCAGGTCCAAACAACCCCGTACCGGGGCTTGGGGTATGGTGTCGCAGGGCTTTTTGGGCTTGGGGTATGGTGGCACGCAGCGCGGATTCCATTCCGCAAGAAAATGGATCGTTTTGGAAAAGAGCAGCAAACGGTCTCTGCAACGCAAGAGATGGAGAAGGTTTTTTTTTTTTCTTTTTTTTTTTGTGATGTCCAGGTCCAACAACCCGGTACCGGGGCTTGGGGTATGGTGTCGCAGGACTTTTTGGGCTTGGGGTATGGTGGCGCGGATTCCGTTCCGCAAGAAAATGGACCGTTTACTGTCTCTGCAACGCAAAAGATGGAGAAGGTTTTCTTTTTTTTTTTGTGATGTCCAGGTCCAACAACCCCGTACCGGCCGCACAACCTTCAAAAAGCCACACACACGGCGTGAGCGCCCCCCCTTGGACCTCTTCCAGGTCTTGGAATTGGCAGGAACGGGGCGGCCACACAAAAGCGGCGGTGCTGTCGTCATACCTCCTTCGGCGGCGGTACTGTAGGGTCCCGTTTTTGTTTCACGAGCCTCACGGTCAGGCTCTGACTTTTCAGTTTCTTTTAGGTTCTCTTACGTTTGAAGTACTGTAGGATCAGTAGCTTATTAGCGCATGTGATCTCCGAAGTAGAAGTCATGACAGAGAATGGCGGAGATCTCTGCGGGCGAAAACACTGCTGGAGGAGACCTCGAGAGAAGCTGCTTGGGGAGGGATCGCTTGTGGAGATCTCTACAATCCTAGTCTCGCGGCGGAGATCACCGCAATAGAAATTGCTGGGGGGTATCTCTACGAGAGAAAGCACTGCAGCAAATCTCCGCAAGTCGCCGGCGGAGATCTCCATGGGGAAAGTTGCCGGCGGAGATCTTGGCGAGCAAAGCTGCTGGCGAAGATCGCTTGCGCAGATCTCCGCATACAAAGTCCCGCGGCGGAGATCACGGCGATCGAAGTGGCTGGTGGATATCTCTACGCTAGAGAAAAACACGTAGAGATATCCACGAGCGAAGAGATCTCGGCGAGCGAAGTGCCCGCGGAGATCTCGGCGAGCAAGGTCCCTGGAGGAGATCTCCGTGTGATCGAAGTTTCTCGCCGAGATCTCCGCGTGATCGAAGTTTCTCGCCGAGATCTCCGCGTGATCGAAGTTTCTCGCCGAGATCTCCGCGCGATAGAAGTTTCTCGCTGAGATCTCCGCGCAATAGAAGTCGCTGGTGGAGATCTCTGCCAGCAAAGTGGAATTGCTGACAAATATCCGCGAGGGAAGCCACTGCAGGGCATCTCCATGGTCGACCTTTGTCTGGCGGAGGTCCCCTCTAGCGAAGGCGCCGGCGGAACGCTCATCTAACCCTTGATGGAGATCTCCGCTACAAAAATGCGGCATTGAGGTCTCCGCCAGTGCGATCGGCATTTTCCATGTCATAGATTGAGATATGTTATGCCTAAATGCCCCTGAAAGATGTTGGTCGAGCCGAATGCCCTTTTGGGCCCAATTCTTTGTGTTATTCCCCTGTGGGGTGGGTGAGCAAATTTGCAATCTGGAACACAATTCGGGGCTGGGCATGGTGCGATCCGGCCTTGGAAACCCCAATTCTTTGTGTTATGATTTGTAATCTGAAACACACAGTTTGGGACTGGGCATTATGCAATCCGGCCTTGGAAAAACTTGGCAAGTACCGGGACATTTTCCAAAGTTGGATGGTGCGCCAAAAAGAAGGGCGGTCCAACCAAGGCCAGGGGTATTTCACAAAGTATTATTTTCGTCATAGGGGCATCCCACTCTATTCACCTCTCTTTTCAGGGGCATTTTGGCATACATCGCAACTGATGGGGGTATGAGGGAAATGCAACGATATCAAGCGTGAGAACAGGGTGGAAAGGTTACAGGAGTCGACAGCAAAGTCGTAGTACGCATATCATGGAGAAAGACCAGGAGGATAGGGGTATTTTGCAAATTATCCCTTTTTCTTCTTTTTTTTTCAAAACAACAATTTTGCATCACAGCGGCTGCAGCAGCGGGCGGAGCAGAAGGCAACCAATGACTCTCAAAACAACGATTTTGCATTACGGCAGCCGCATCCGGCGCACCAGAAGGAGACCGATCAGCCTCACGCCGGGCACAGCCTTAGACATCTACAAGATCTATGGTTTGGGTGATATGGATCATATGGAGACACACACATAAATGCAGTTGTCTTTTTGTGCTCTGGATAGTTGGAGAGTCTGACCTTGCTTGCCAAGATCTGTGCGGGCACTTCGCTCGCGGAGACCGCCAGCAACGGGACTTTGTATGTGGAGATCTCCGTGGCGAGAAAAAAACACTGCGGGAGACACTGCGGAGACTTTTTTGCCCCAACCAATCAAAATCTGGCTTCTGAAAGCCCGCTTGATTTGTCTCTGCGCCTGCTTGATATTAGAGTCTACGGTGTGGGTGATATGGATCATATGGAGACACAGACATGATTGCAGTTGTCTTTTTGTGCTCTGGATAGTTGGAGAGTCCGACTTTGCAGAGTAAGGGCCTCGCCACTCCCATGCCAAAAACGACATTTTTGACTTTTTCTCCTCGCCACAAAGCATGTCGAAATCCAGGATGTGAAAAAAAATCAGGAGCTGTCAGGGAAAGGGTTTGGACACCTCCTCTCGAGCAAGGCTCGTTTCTCAGCCTGCAACTTGGACATTTTCAACAGTCCTCCCATGGGATGTCGAGTTCTTGCCCGAATGTCGAAAAGGAGAACGGACCAACGCTTGTCCTATCTTCACCCCAGTTTGTCTCAGAGTCTTTTGTGCATAGGACTTGTCAGTTCTTCACTTCGACATGCTGTGTGGAGAAGAGGGTTTTTTTCTGTAGAAAGAGGCAATGTCAAGAATTTCCTGACATATGTCGAATGTCGTGATGTTTAGACATTGCCAGGACTTGTCAGGGAAAGGGTTTCGACGCCTCCTCTCGGGCAGGGCTCATTTCCCAGCCTGCAACTTGGACATCTTCAACAGTCCTCTGATGGGATGTCCAGTTCTTGCCGGAATGTCGGAAAGGAGACCGGACTGACGCTCGTTCTATCTTTACCGTAGTTTGTCTCTTTTTTTTGTGAGTAGGACTTAATATGAGTTTTCCATTTCCACATGCGGGGAAGAGAGTTTTTGTGCGGGGGACTTGTGAGTTCTCCAGTTCCATGTGCGGCGAAGAGCGTTTTTCTGCCAAAAGAGGGAATGGGCCTCGCTGCACTATGCTCGACTCACAAAAAAGTTCAATCGTAGATCAAGAGCTCTCAGACATGAGCAATGATCACAATAGCCGGTGTCGTCGCTTCACTGACTCTCAACGACCCTACTCTTGAAGGATTCTTGATTTGTTAAAATTTTTGTTCTTTTTTTCCAGTCTTGAATGCTACACGATGGTGCAACGCTGCTTTGTCCGCCTAGACTGGAGGCCCGTTCTTGAAAGTTGAAGAGTTCGTGAAGGGCCAGGCCGACCACTCTTAAAAAAACCACCTTTGGAGGCAGGCACACTTGAACACTAAGTCTTCAAGAGCTGTCAGAATCGGGCGTTCTGACACCTCTTGAAAAAGAAATTCAAGAGCATCCGTCAAGAGTGAGTGCAGCGATGACTCACTCTTGACGAATCTAGCGCCTATCTGACAGCTCTTGAAGCTGTTTCCCAGCTTTGTTTTCGAGTCACTGTGTAAGTGCGGCGGTGCCCAATGTAGAGAAGTTCCTGACATATGTGTAGTGCAGTGAGGCNGTGCGGCGGTGCCCAATGTAGAGAAGTTCCTGACATATGTGTAGTGCAGTGAGGCCCAATGTCGAGAAGTTCCTGACACATGTCCAATGTCGTGATGTAGTTTCGACATCCGTGCGGCGAGGAGGCCCTAAGTGCCTCCTTCCACTACCCTCCACATGCACAAAAGGCAAAAAATATGGTCCTGTATCTGTCCATGTTCTAGGGAGAGATTCAGCCTCTTGTTGCGCATTTGGAGAGTTACTGTAACCGAGTCAGGCCCTACCCCTTCCCCATCAAGCAATTTCCTACGTTTTCAAAGGAAATCGTTGGGGAACCTGCAGTAGGGGCTGTCTGAGGGGGATCCTCCAAGATAGGATGGTCTGGGTCCCATAAATTAGTTGCTGACTGTAGATAGGTACCTGTCGTGGGTCCAGAAACCGACCTCTACAACACCCTGGTTTAAAGAAAAAAAAGAAAAGAAAAAAAAAAAGAAAAAAAAAAAGGAAAGAAGTAGAAGAAGAAGATAGCTCAGAACCCCCAGAAGTCAACTGCTCTCGGACCCCACTCTTCAGGCCGAGCCTCACCTGTGCAGAGAACGCAGATGAAACAATAGGGGCCAAAGGGCCAGACAGGTTCCTCCTACCCTCTGGCAGCAAGTCAGCATCTTCACCCCCAGCGAAAATCAAGGTACCATAACTTTCTCGGCCTTTTGGCCTAAGATCAAGTGCAGTATCTCTTCTGATCAGTTTAATATCTTATCCGGGGTCCATCGGGCCAATAATAATCATTTGGAAAAAAAAGAAAAAAAAAATTGAGTTACTCTCTAACGAAAAGGGATCAGTCAATGCCGCTGTGGAAAGAGAAAAATGGGACCCAAAAAACTTACGTCAGCAGTTAACTTGTCAATCTGAGCCAGCTCACTACATGCTGCCCTATGGTTCCGGAGCCAGCGGTGGAAAGGGAAAAATCGGACGTCAGCAGTTAACTTGTCAATCTGAGCCAGCTCACTACATGCTGCCCTATGGTTCCGGAGCCAGCTGTGGAAAGGGAAAAATCGGACCAAAACTGACTGTCAGACGAAGCTCGGCCTGTTGTGCTCAGCTCCGCCTGTTGCTGTCAGTGTGGGCTTCGCTGCATCAGGGCCTCGCCACACCACTCTTGAAAACTCATTTTCGAGAGTTGGGGCGTAGCCACACAGCCTCTTGAAAGTTTTTTTGGCAAAAACTCTTTCAAGAGGTGTCAGACCTTGGCTTCAAGAGTCACTCTCGAAACACCGAAAACCCCAGCCTGCAGCGACTCTCCTTTCAAGCATCCTCGCCGTAGCACTCAAAGAGGCCTTGGTTTTCAAGAGCTGTCAGGCCGTTACCTGACAACCCCTGACACCCCGGTGGGCCACTCTAAGGAGTCCGCGCACGAAGAACCTCGACGGTCTCTTGGCAGCATGGACATCCGTGGGGGGGGGGGGCATTTTTTGGACCATCCGCCACGCCTGCGGCGCCCGTTGGAATGTTCAAGAGTACACCGTGTTCGCCACGCAGCACTCTTGAGAACGCCCAGACGGACAAGACCGGTTTCAAGAGTCGGGGTTTCGAGAGTGCTGTGCGGCGAAGGGGCCTCAACTCTCGAAAACCCGACTCTTGAAAAACTCTGACAACTCTCGAAACAATTTCTCGTTTCAAGAGTGGTGTGGCAAGGCCCTCAGTTGTTATGATCCTGGTTGCTTGTTGTCAGAAGACCAACACTCGCTCACATAGACTTCCAGGTGTGCCCATACATACACAGAAGGAAGGGGAGAGGATGGGAGTATCACACCGCACATAGAGAGATAAACACAGTGGAAGACTTGTCCATGCGGTATGACAGAAAACACTGAAAGTGCAATTCGCTCCACAGAATCCACACAAGCAGTCACAAAGGAAAAGCCGAGTAGATCACATCCAGGAAACAATGAAGCAATGATAGTCCGCACACAGTATTAACACTGTTTATTAAACTCAGAGTCTGAAAATGTCAAAATAACCCCAGCACCATGGTGCGCTGCTCAGAAATGAGCAGCGCTTCACTCCCCAACCCTGAGTAACCGCTATTTCTACCCCTGAGTCCCTGAAACAACCAGCACCACCCAGGTACTGCCTCCAGAGGGAGGCGCCACCTTGAAACAGGCCTCTGAGGCCAAGACCCAGTCCTCCCCTACCTATTCTTTTTCTGCCAAGCCACTTTGGTCACAAGAAAATTGTTTGATTCCTTATGTCAAATGCCAAACTCTGTCCACTACATTCACACATTGTATAATACTGGGACGCTGGACCCGCTTTTCAGCAGGTGCTCCTCCCCACTCATAGACGGAGCCTTCCACGCAGTCCCCGCTTGGGGAGGGTGCTTGCTCTTGTCACCTCCGCCAAGCAGGCCCCTGCAAGAAAGAAAACAAAAGAAAAGAAAAGAAAAAGAAAGTCTTTTGATTTCTGACGGGACCCCACACCCCGGGGACCTTGTCCCACTTGCACGGTTTAGTTGAGGCAGCTCAAGTGTGCAACAGCCAAAAAAAACATTGTAATTCAATTTCAAATGAGAAATGCATTTATAAATGGCACAAATACAATTGTTCTGGTTTTTCTTTTTTCACAAGTGGAGTGGCATACCGGCACTTCCACAGCAGAAAATGAAGAGGTGCCCGAATCCAGTCCAAAAATGGCAAACGGAAGGAGGCTCGTACAGTTTCTCTTGAAAAACG